TTACTAAACAATTAATTTATCACAAACTAGTTATGTAGCAAATTATTCCAAATTATGAATCAATAATCATCAAATAACTAAATTGACCAACCTAAGATTTTGGTGCATCTCAGTGCTTAATGCGTTTAGTAAGATGCAAATCAGAAATATAGATGAAATCAGTTAAAGGAAGGTACTCCAGACGGAAAAATAGAAAAGGACAGTTTGAGATTTTGACTTTGGAAAATTGAAGATAAAGTTATTAAATCGTGGGTCACAGCAAAGGAAACTAGTCCCTCTACCAATATCAGAAACCACGTAGCTAATTTGAAATTTGAGGTATTAAGGATTGAATTGAATATTGATTTGTCCAGAGTACCATAGAAAAAAATTGTACATAGAGCGTAAATAATTAATATGAAAAAAAGCAACATTCACACCAACAAAAAGATAGTGAAACAGTAATCAGGAAGATAATTAGAATCTGAAGGTCCTGTTGCTGTGCTGGCTGAAGTGAATGTAGGTCCAGAAGTGAATAACTGAGAACTAGCTGAGTTTGAGTTAAGGCACGTTGCGAGATTGAACCTCTGAATGGTATGAATGCTTATGAAAGAGTGCCTAACCTAGCGGATACTGCTACCTACTTAAACTACGTAACTAAACTGAATACAACAAAACTGCAAACGCAACATGAACAGAAAACGACATATAGACAACAAATTTACAAATGATTACAAAAATTATTAATGGTGGGAAAAATTTCCCACATGGGAGGCTATAGGCATGTCGTGGGAGGCTATAGGCATGTCGTGTGAGGCTATAGGCATGTCGTGTGAGGCTATAGGCATGTCGTGGGAGGCTATAGGCATGTCGTGGGAGGCTATATATAGGCATGTCGTGGGAGGCTATAGGCATGTCGTGGGAGGCTATATGCATGTCGTGGGAGGCTATAGGCATGTCGTGGGAGGCTATAGGCATGTCGTACGTGGGAAGACATAGGCCAGGTGTATTCGTTGTTCAGAAACCATTCTCCAGAAACTGTCCAGCCTGCGCTGCCTCTCTGCTGACGCTACGGAAGTTTATAAAACAGCGCAGACAACTTCTATAAGAAACTGCAGCAGCGAGATGACCTTAGTGAGTTCACTGATACTTGGCAGCTGCGTTGTGATGGTGACAAGAGTAAAGTGCTTCTCTGGGCAAGAATAATTAACAACAGGCTTTATAATACTACATGGTCCGCCATAGATATGGCAACGGATGTTTGCTATATAAAAATAAATAGATTTCTAGGAGCTTTTTCTTGTAAAATGAAGAATTATATCATCTATTAATTCATCTTTTTTATATTGCAGAAGTCTAAGGTGTCTAAATTTACTATTGATTAGTATAGAAATTCATAGTATCTCAAAATTGTTAATATATGTAGAACCGTTGAAGACTGATTGAAGCCGACGGTTTAAAATTCAAAACAAAGCGGGTGTAGGACGCCTCACGTCCGCGGGTAGCGAACGGGGCTATAAAAGACGTGAGGTAGGATAAGAGGCAGCTCAGTGCGAGTCGGACAGCGTGCCGAGAGGACATCGTGTGGTGTGCGGAATTTAGATCACCAGAGTTCGAGCGCAGAGCCAGTTACGTTGCGGTGTTAGAGGCAGTCGGACCAAACAGTGAGTGGCGTATAGAAGAGCTACGCTTTAGCCGAGAGCCAGACGCATTTGTGGAAACAGCCGCGGGTGCAAGAGATAGGGCTGCAAGTTAACCACGACGATTCAAGACGGACAACGAGTATCATCTCAAAAAACTACGACGCGAGCCTGGTTATACGCGCTCAGAGTGAGTTCCATCGAAGCAAAGTTCTACGAGTGTTCGAGCAGCAACCCTTCGCATTAGACCGCAACGTCGAAGAAACCGACGCCAAATCCTAGTATTGCCGGATTACGACGGATTGAGTCCTGCCAAAACCTACGACGCGAGCCTGGTTATACGCGCTCAGAGTGAGTTCCATCGAAGCGAAGTTCTACGAGTGTTCCAGAAGCAACCATCCGCGTTAGACCGCAACGTCGAAGAAACCAACACCAAATCCTAGTATTGCCGGAGTACGACCGAACGAGTCCCGAAGAAGTCAGAAGTCGGCCAACGCTCGACTGCATTCCCAGCCGGTGATGTAACCCTTTTCTTTTGAATCGGTGAATTACTATCCCCATTTTAGCCCTCTTCATTGGTACTATTGTGAAGGTTAAATTATTAGCGTGCATTGTAGCCTTCGTTGGGAATTGCAAATACGGGTAGGCTAAGCTTAGAAATTTGTTGCCAATTTTTGCCGTGCCCAGTTCTGTATTAGGATGGTATTTTTCTGCCTTTAAGTATATAAGTGTTGACATGCTTATTTGTATCTTTTCCCTTGTCAATTCGTCGCCTAGCTGCCAGCGTGAGAACCTTTTCAACGCGCCGACCCTCGTGCTAGAAACCTGACAGTTTTTTTAAAATGTTTATTTGAAAACTCTATCGAGAGTTCCATACGTTTGATGAGATCAATACAGGTGTCGAAATAACTGGTTGTCTTGAAATAACTATAAATACTGTCGACGCAAACCCTTATATCGATAAGTATAGTTTCGGTTGAAATCACTACATCAAGACTAAAAGAAAAGTTAGAAATAAAGAAAAAGTAGGACACCATTTTCTAATCACTATTACTTATGGCAGTAGATAGAAATGTAAATGTAACCCTGCATGAAAAGGGCGAGAGTAATTCAGTCATTACAAAAATGCTCCAAATTCGTTGTGAAACTGCGTGGATGGTGGTAAACAAAATTCAAGGAAACTGGGGAAACATGCAATCGACCTGGTCAAGGAAGGGAACGAAGTGTCCGAACAAAACAATTGGTCAAAAACACGAGGGAGAAGTTAAGGAAAAACCCTCGTCGCTCAGCTGCAAAATTGGCTGCAGAAACAATTAAGAGTCAGTCAGACATCAATGCGTAGAGTCCTCAAAGATGACCTCAAAACCTCCCCTTACAAGATGCAAACAAGGCATGAACTTACAGACCGTCATGAACTAATGAGGCTCGAAAGATGCCAGCACATTCTGGATCTCATTGAGGATGGCATGCTGCCCAACTTGGTGTTCAGTGACGAGAAATAATTCGACATTGAACAGAGCGTTAACCGTCAAAATGACAGAGTTAGGAGTCGGGATGGATCTGTGGCAACCAGAACAGCAACACGACGTCAAAATCCCATGTCCGTGATGGTTTGGGCCGCGGTAGCCGCCACTGGGAGGTCCCCACTTGTTTTTGTCCCCTCAGGAGTGAAATTGAACAGTCAGCGAAACATTTCGGACATATTGGAAGCTGTGTTGTTACCTTGAGCCCGTAAACACTTCAACGGCTCACCATGGAGTTTTCAACAAGACTCTGCCCCATCACATGGCTCAAACACAAACATGACCCAAATCTGGATTCAGGGTCACATCCCAGCGTTCATTAGCAAAAATGAATGTCCCTCAAGAAGCCCTGATTTGAATCCTCTCGACTTTTCTGTGTGGGCTATTTTAGAGAGTAGAGTCTGCAGAACACCTTATAATTCTTTGGATAGTTTGAAGTCTAAATTGACACGAGAATGGGACTTGATCCCTCAAGAAATGCTGCGTGTCTCCTGTGAAGCTCTCCCGCGTATACTGGAGTCCGTCATTAAAAATAAGGGTGGTCATATTGAATAAATATGTCTGAGAATTGTTTAGGTAATTCTTGGCTACTAGCTCATCCAATAAAAAACAATGCACCTGTTTGTTTCATTAAGAAATAACAAAAAACATGCCATAAATATGGCAGACCCTGTATATTAGTATAGAGTATCCGCAACGGGAAACAAAATACTATATTAATAAATGAGAAGACTGTAAGCTAGAATCCAGCTTAAAAGACAACAGTAAAAAAATATCTGGCATTGCAGCATCCCGGCAGGCAACAATTCAAATTTTCCAAATTAATCCAGAATAGAAAATAGTCTTTTAGAATAGTGAAGAAATAGAATTATAGAATAGTGAAGAAATAGTCTATGTTCAGTGTCAAGGTTGTCACATAAATTTGCTCCTATGTTCAGTTCATCACCAGCTCTGTACTGGCCAACATAAACTTGATTCACACGCGTATTCTGATCCTGCCTCTCCCTAACCTCTGTGTACCTTGACCTCCTGTAATTCAGCATCAGCTAACGATCTCTACAAGTTCACGTTGACAATGTGTTAACTTTTCCTAACTTATTAAAACCTAAGGCAATAAGTAAACAAATGACTAAACTGATCCGACGTGCCCAGCGGTGGTGGATGCAGAATTTGTGAAGCTGTTGTTTGTTGCAAGAGTTCGCGCGCGCCTGATCGTAAAGTTAGGTGGAAAAATACAATTTTACGGGCCGCAAATGTCTGGCCCGGGATTCAGTGTAAACTAAGAAAAATTTTGTGGATATATTTCATGTTTCAATGGACGTTGCTGGCGATCATGAATCTATTAATGCGATCGATAAATGAACTTTTCGGAGACCCAAATGTGCTGGTTCATGATAAGCTAAACTTGCAAACTATTTCTAAGTAAATACTAAACATTTTTAATTACAAATTTACAAGTTTTCTCGACATTTCAGATGAATTGTCAGTATTTATTTTTCATGATAAAGACCGGGCCGAACAGTCCGGGTGAATATTTTAGTGATTTGGTACGGAGGATACGGGCCGGTCCGCGGGACTCCCGGACGCGTGACGCGGTGTTGGTGCTCCGTGGCCCGTGCCCGCGGTTGAGGCGCGAGGTGGTCAGGGTAGCGGATTCCACGTTCTTAAAAAAATTTTATAAACTAGTTAGTACAGCGTCAAAAAACTCTGGCTAGGCACTCTGGCTAGGTAATATATTCTCGCGTTTATATAACAAAATGAATGGGAAGCCTGGCATGTTACACCGGCTGCATGAGCATCTCCGTGACGCCATCCTCGAACAGCTTCACTAGACGCTCATCCGTAAGTGAACAGATTTTGCAAAGAATATGTTCTATAAAAGAACAAAAAATCATAAATGAGACAAGAACATAATATTGCAATATAATGAGCCGTAATAATGCGATATAATAAAGCAATGTAATGAGCCACAAGCCTCGTTTGTATGGCATTTCTCCTTGTTTCTGACCATCAAAAACGTCGAAAATTGCGTAAGTTATTTCTTGACTGCCTTGTATGGAGTGATCATGGAGGGGGGTGACATAAATACAAATATCCTCTCAAAGGTCGACGTGAAAAAAAAGGTTACTCCTGCTTGTGCGTTCCATTAGAACTGTTTCTCGACCGTGGGCCATCGCATGGAATATTTTTTTATTTCAGTCGACGATGCAAATGCAGGTAAGTAACAAATTTTCTATGACGACCAGAAAGAAACTTTTCGAGGAGAGACACTGTTGTTCCTATTGACCTGAGGGCGTTCGGCGTGGAAGTAGGTTGAGTTTGGTAATAAAAAAATAATTATAGGATAAAAGAAGCACCGAATTAACGGCGATTAGGCAAGCGGGTTCTGAAATGGTCTTGTATTTAAGCCAGGCTTGGTGGGGTGAATGGTGGTAGGGTGAGTGGTGGTGGGGTGAGTGGTGGTGGGGTGAGTGGTGGTGGGGTGAGTGGTGGTGGGGTGAGTGGTGGTGGGGTGAGTGGTGGTGGGGTGAGTGGTGGTGGGGTGAGTGGTGCCGTTCTCTGCCTGCCACGCACTATAGTCTTCTTGTTATAATAATTAGCATTTATCCTGCCGATATTGAACAAGAATCTTTTGAATATATATTTAATAACAGTGAGAGATTAACAGCAGTGAAGGAGGCCCTCTAAACAGAAGGCATTACACGCAACGCCTGCAGGAGGTTCTCCACTGCGCGCCTCAAACCGCGCGAGCGACAAGCGCTTCAGTGCCGCGCCTGCCGTCAGTGGGGGTGCATGTGGTGTGCTGCTGTCGGTGCCTGCCCGCTCTGTGAACTGCAGAGCTTCTTGCTTTTATTTCCTGTGAGTAGTAATGCTGATGGAGTGTTTTATGGTTTAAATGCCGTCCGTCTGCGTGTTTATTCCTGGCGCTAGGAAGGGGGCAGTGTCATGTCCTGCACTTTCGGTTAATGCATAAAGATTGATTAGGTCGAAGTGAAGGATAGGGCAGAAGCCACCCTTGAATCGGACAAAAATGTCCTAAATATGTCCTATTTCACCCGTTCCTGTGGCTTTTTCCAATTTTTTCATTGAGAATCACATAAATTGCCGATTTGTACGCGTAATTTTTCGATAAAGCAACTGAGAAACTATCGTTTTTACCCGCGAATTCGGGAAACTTCTGCCGAATATTCGGATGATTATGTTTTGCGCTGCTGCATTCGGACGTGTAGGGCTTTGGAGGAATACTTGGCAACTTAGCAGTTGGATGTTTTACTGCAGCCCAGTTAAGTAGGATAGTGAAGGTTGTAGGGAATCTTCAGGGTAATTTATTCCGGTAAAAGGGGTCAGAGGTTACCTCGGTTAGAAGGCGGGGAAATGAAGGCCAGAAACAATAAGGTAAATCAGCACAAGTCTGAGAGGGTTTTGAGACACAATACAATGTAGAATGAATAGATGCTGAGAAGATGGCTTACGTCGATCAGTCCAAACAGCACAAGTATAAGGAGATTATGAGATATGAGAGGTCCAGCGGAAATTGTAAAATGTATCTTTGCTGAGAGACCTGCGAACAAGGTCAGAATTATTGAACCTGAATTTCACATGGCAGTTACCATTCCAACATCAACATAATAGAAATTTAATTTCCCAAAATTTTATATTCATAATCATTGTTATTGAGATTTACAAGAGACAATATTGATTCTCAAAGGAGACACAATTTACACTATTTCTGTAACAAAACACTACAAAATATTTTACTGATAATCCACTCTAGTCAATAAGGTTCTAACTGAGATTAAACATCAGGCATTTCCCAACCCAACTCAGAGTTTATAAGTATAGGCAATGAAAGTGAGTCAGCATAAGTTATGTAAGCTATGGCGGCTAGTCTGGGTCGAGACTGTGATTCGCTATGAAGTTCGTACAACAATCCCTATCACTTGACCTTAAAGTACGAACGAATGTTCTCCGCAATACATCATTTGCTAGGCATTTTAAGACTGAACATATGCTCCTGCATAGCTTCGTCTAGTCTGTTCTTGAAGATGTTCATACTCGGAGCTTCAACTATGCTATCAGGGAGGCTGTTCCACATGTCGGTGACTCGAAGCGAGAAGAAATGTTGTCGCATGGATGTGTTCCAACGCTGTTTTTTTAGTTTATAGCCGTGGCCCCTGGTGTTGGTTCTTGTTCAATCATCAGCTATAGAAAGATCGTGTTCCAAAGGCCGGATCCCTTGTGAATCAAGTCACGAAAAGTTCAAGAATCGTCAACAGGCCATGGCCTATTTCTTCAACGCCGACACTTCTATTCTATTTTATTCTATTCTATTCTAATACATCATGAACAATTAGTAAATTTTTAACACTCACCAAGTGGATATTTTTATTTTACCAGAACACGAAGGCTAAGAAGAACCTCTTGTAAGTGTCTTAAAACTATTACAAAATTGTCAGAAAAAATATAGATACTATTGAGACTGACCATGATCAACTGGCTCAGAATGTTGATTATATTTACTTTATTTTAGTCTATTTGACGTAGGCCATCGGCCAGGGTTCTCATGAACTGTACATAATTAGGGCACTAAAATATATAAAATTACAGTTTTCCTTCTAGTAATCGCGTGAATTATTATTTATAATAATAAATAACTACAGACGCCATGTGATGACAAAACAGCAGAGATATACAGTTATTATCTTATTGGTTAATGGACATACAGGGTCCGACATATTTATGGTAACGCATGTTTTTTCTCAATGACGCAAACAGATGCAATTGTTTTTTATTGGATGAGCTATAGTAGCCAAGAATTACCTAAACAATTCTCAGACAGATTTATTCAATATGACCGCCCTTATTTTTAATGACGGCCTCCAATCTACGCGGGAAAGCTTCAAAGGAGACACGCAGCATTTCTTGAGGGATCAAGTTCCATTCTCGTGTCAATTTAGACGGTGGGTTGGACGCCGGTGGGTTGGACGGCGGTGGGTTGGACGGCGGTGGGTTGGACGTCTGTGGGTTGGACGCCGGTGGGTTGGACGTCGGTGGGTCGGACGTCGGTGGGTTGGACATCGGAGGGTTGGACGTCGGTGGGTTGGACATCGGAGGGTTGGACGTCGGTGGGTTGGACATCGGAGGGTTGGACGTCGTTGGGTTGGACGTCGGAGGGTTGGACGTCGGTGGGTTGGAC